ACGATTTCACGGCCTATGTCACCAAAGACAACACCCACGTTCATGTGGTTAGCACTCAGCGATTCAACGATGCTATTCGTAAGAACAAGAAATACGAGGATAGGAAAAAAACAGTTTCTGTGAGCTCAACACGACTATGCGTAAAGCATCGTCGATTTCATCTAATGTAATCAACCTGGTCGGTTCAACAGGACGGAGGCGACATTTTAGAGTGAAATGACGCATCTGAACGATTACACGTAACATCCGATCGTAGGACGAAAACCGCGAAAACCACTCTACAGGAGGGTCGTTGCGTTGTACGGCAAGACTAACAGGACGCACTTCCGGAAATTTTGAATGTGATATTCGAACAACGTCATTCCCCCAGTTTTCCGGTGCGTCATAAATAAAATGTGGGCCGCACCAATATAACTCATGTCGAGCCAACTCTGACAGCATGAGCCCACGCGACGCACAGTCGGCGGGGTTATCGGATGAAGAGACATAACGCCACTGACCATCAGGCAAGGCCGTTTGAACCTGGTGCACTCGGTTGGAAACGTATTGTTTAAACGTCTCATGTGGGGTGGTAAGCCAAGACAGTACCACCATAGAATCTGTCCATGCATAGGTGTCTACAATCTTTACGCAATTGTACAGTACGGATTTCACATGGCTCAACCATCGGGAAAGTAATACGGCTGCATTGAGCTCCAAGCGCGGAACGGTTAATGGTTTTATAGGCGCTAACTTCGTCTTAGTACCAACGAGAAACACGGATGATTCGCGTGGAGCGTCAAGTACGCGCAAATAAATGACTGCCGCATAGTCCCTTAATGACGCGTCGCCAAATCCAAATAAAGAACACGCAGCGCCTGGTGCAGTGTTGCAAAACCGAGGGATTTGTACAGACGAAAGCTCTGGTAATTCTATAACAAACTGTGCCCAATCAGCGCGAATTTCCGGAGGAAGCGGTCCGTCCTATGTGCGTTGCATTATATGCTTTGCAAGAAAAATGGACGGGGCGGACAAGCCAAACGGGTCAAAGAACTGAGCAGTGAGCGAAAGGACGCCGCGTTTCGTATACACAATTTGTGTATCAAGGTTGAGCTCACAGATTAGACAATCATCATAAGGGTACCAATGTAACCCTAAGACCTTCGTACCTAGGTTTTCACCTTCGGCGAATGATGTGGACTTAAGTACTAGGTGATCACCGGTATTGCTTGCAGCACAGCCGGCGTGTTGCTTGACCACTTGTGGAGTTCAAAACCGGAACGGGCGAGGACAGATATCAAATCGGATTGTACCGCCAAAACACTTGCGACGTTGTCCGCTCCATAGCAAATGTCATCGACGTACGTCTGATAACATAGTGCGTCGCGAACAAGCGGAAACTGGGCACAGTCGTTATCAGCAATACATTGTAACACACGAAGCGCTAAATAAGGTGCACAATTGACCCCATAAGTCACCGTATTCAGCTCATAATCAACAACCTTATCGTGCGGCGAATCGCGCCACAGTATGTGTTGAAACGTGCGAAATCTAGATGACACTAAAATTTGGCGGTACATTTGACGGATGTCCGCTGTGAAGGCATGTCGGAACCAACGGAAACTGATTAAAACATCGACGATCTCACGTTGTAATTTCGGTCCGGAGAATAAAACATTATTTAATGATACGCCTGAAGAACATTTCGCTGATGCATCAAATACTATCCTTATCTTGGTGTTCCCATCTTCATTTTTGCACACTGCGTGATGGGGAATAAAATATTGGCCAACCGAACGAGCTATGGACATGTGTCCTGAAGACAAATAATCGGACATGAATTCGTTATACAATGACCGCAACTTGGCGTCGAAATTTAGTTTACGTTCCAAACCCTCAAGGCGCTTTAAAGCGACGTTACGTGACCCGGGAAACATAGAGAACTGAACCGGGATCCGGAATGGTAACGGAACAGAAAACCGGCCTGAAGCCTCACGCACGCACTGACTCTTAAAAATCGACTCACATTGGCCTGTCTCGGTGAACTGTACGGTCGCAGAGTCTGGTTCTTCGACGTGCCAGAATCGATCTAACAGTTCCTCGACTGATGTCGTAAGGGATACAAGAGAAGTGTAGGGGTTGGGATTATCAATGGGTAACACTGATCCTATCAATAACCACCCGAAAATTGAATTGAATGCAGTTGGAAGTACTTTATCTACCGAAATTTGATTACCGATAAGAATGCTTGAAAACAGGTCAGCTCCCAATAATAAATCAACTAGAGCAGCTTGTCGAACGTAGGATCGGCTAATGCTAAATTAGAGTAGCTTTCCTTTATCCCCGGTTGTAATGATTGTCGAGGGAGATTGGACGTAATGGCGGGCAGTACCCACGCCTTGAATCGCAATACGGGTTCAACCAAAAAACGGGGTTGAATTTGACAATCCGCGCGACCTGTGATGCAGAATCTACTAGCGTGCGTACCGTTTGTAGAGTCCCTGACTTATCGCGTATGTGGACTAACGCGGTTCCTAAAATTATAGACGGACTGTTGTGCTCGCCCACCAGCGATGTAGACCCGCATGGTATAGAAACAGACAATTGGGAATCGATATCACCACTGGTCTTGTCCACCGCATCGGAATGAAGTAGCACATGATGTTTCCGGGAACACACGGTGCACTTAGTTTTAGACCTACATCTATTGGCCCAATGCTTGTCACTTAAACATAAAAAACAAAGACGATTGGTCCGGGCAAATGAAATACGATCCTCCTCCTCCTCCGACATAAATTTTTTACAAGCACTTAACGAATGCATTTGATTATTGCAACATTTACACTTGTCAAGCGGCGCCCCACTGATCTTGTTGACTGTAAACGAAACAGCCTCACCTTTATCTGATTTCCGCGCCAGAGACGACAGATTATTAACATGCACTTTACCAGAATAAGTGGGCTTACGCGAATCCGTCACGTTTTCTAACACAGAAATTCTAGATTTGAGGAACTGGGTGAACACATGAAAAGACGGAAAACTATCGGAATTTTCTACCTCGAACAACTTTTGAACACCGATGGGCAGAGCCCTACTTGCTAATGAGAACAAAATAAAGGATCCGAGATCTGGAATGTTCAGCGACGTTAACAACGCGACACTTTCACCAAACGTGGCTACAAAGTTAGTCAGCTCTGATAAGGACTCATGTTGAATCGGTGTGATATTCAATAATTTTTCGATGAGGGCGGTCGCGACCACACGGGGTTTATCAAATCGTTCATTCAGTACCTTAACCGCGAGCTCGTAATGGTCAGAACTAATAGGTATACCTTTCACCGCCTCGGCAGCCGCGCCCGACAAACAATCTAATAAATAATACATTTTATCACTATTAGATAATTGGGAATGTTTGTCCATTAATGCAACAAAACGGTCATGAAACATTGGCTACTCATGAAAGTCTCCTTTAAAACATGACAGGGGAATTTCGGGTAAGCGTGACTTAACACCACCATCGACACTCAAGGTCAACGCTATGACGCCCCCATTACTCGATATTTGGCCATTAACAGCCTCTGTTGGGGACCACTTGTTTAAGACTATCTTAATATCTGTTATTAATTCACAAACCTGCGACTGAAGATCGACGGAATATTCCGTTACAGCATCTAACGCGATCAAACAATCTAGTACAGATTCATCCTCGGCAACGAAGCTAGTCCACATGGCCGCTAAATCCGAGGTTGATACTAAGAAATTCGGCAATATGGCCGGTTCGGCTTTGACGCGTTTCGACAAAGCATGGACTGAGCGTATGCGGGCAACTATGGTATCGCGACGTATCAAAGCACGCGTTTTCCGACGAGTATTACGCGCGCGTTCCTCAACCTTATCGTCCACCGGCACCATGATAGGATAATGTAAAATTAAAATTAACAAGTACTCAAGCGAACTCTTACTAATATGGTGGGCACTACAGCGATTATGACGGCATGCACGAGATGATAATCACACCTTCCCCATTAATAGTAAATAACAATGCCGAGTATAAAAATAAATATCATAAATGTAAAATGACCAGTATTATGTCCGACACGATTCGAGAAAAATAAGTGATACGTACACGTATCAACCACGCTCTGCTACCAAATGTTCGATCGGGTAGAACACTTGACTGGTCACCTCACACTTAAAAACTATTAAATGATTATAACAAGGTTGGTTTTAATCCAAAGTAATTATATAATAATTCATCATAATTCAACACATTGGACATAAGATCGGGCGCCCGGAATAATAATAATATAAACATAAATACATAGATATAAAATGTAATACAGCCAACCACGGTAGTGTACTCAATTCCATCGATGACAGTGCAGCCAACTTCCTGCTGCCGAGAGCGGGCAGGCACTCCACGAACAACGATGTATCGTACAAACGGCGACGCAGTGACGACGGTGCAAAACACGCCCGGCGGTACAACGTACAACGGCGCAATGGCGACCGGCGGCAAACACGCACGACGGCGAAGGGCCGACAAGCGGCAAATACGCACGACGGCGAAAGGCCGACCAGCGGCAAACACGCACGACGGCGAAGGGCTGACCAGCGGCAAACACGCACAACGGCGAAGGGCCGACAAGCGGCATATACGCACAACGGCGACTACAACCGACCGGCGGCAAACACGCACAACGGCGAAAGGAAACGGGCGACCGGCGGCAACGCACACGATGACACCGCAAAATCACGCGGAAGGTAGAAAAATGGCGTGAATCAACAAAGGCGCACAAGCGTGAACGAAACAAAGTAAAAACAGCATACACGTTACGATAGATCGGCGATATGCCGCCGTCGGAGGCGAACATACGACGACGACTGCGGGGGTTCGTAAAATACGGACGGTGACGACGTCGGGGCTCGCTGTCGGTCGCGGTTATCGCGGGGAAAACCGCAGATAAGGTCGACAATATTATATTTAGACAACCAGCTCGAACATATCTTATTTTAACCTATAATTACTGTAATTTAATCTAATATTGTAGTTTATTATTTTTTTTTATATTTGTTTTGTCAATGTCGGCTAATAACCATAGCAGTTAAAGCCTGTAAACCTTAAATAAAAAAAAAAAAAAAGAAGAAGAGTACAGTTTCGAATTCTTTATTCAATGTAAACGTCTTGATAAATATTATATTCATACAAATAAAAACGGGTTGATAATGATAAATATAAACACATCGAGTAGTAGGTATGTTTAGAGTATTGTTGTTTGAAAATAATATGTGTTTAGGTCGTTAGACATTTTTATCCAATTTTTATTCGGTTTTTCAATCCAGCTACTTGATTGTATAAGGTCGAATTGATTGAGTTTATTGAGTTTTTAAAATTCCATAATGTTTTTATTTTTTATTTTTTGTTGAAATGACATTCGACTAACATACGAGCATATATATATATACTACCGGCCGGTACATGGTGTACTTGCGGATTAAATAGAGTCAATCGAGATATTTCTTGGCACTGAAGTGGAAATCGATTAGGTCCGCGAATAGGTATTTGTTTTGGAAATAAAATATATTTTTTTCGTTCCGTGATGACGCACTTGGAGGTAATTTTCTA